TTCTCTTACGGTCCTAACATAAAATATCCTCTAAAAGATATATTTTGCAAGAAGTTAAAAAAGTGAGTTCACGTAAAGAAAAATAATAAGATAGGTGGTAGCATATGGTAAAAATCTTGAAAGGAGGTCTCAAGTGACCGGAGTCTGATAAACACTATTCTATTGGCTATAGTTTACTTTAAAATACGATGACAGCCTGGCCGGTGTGGTCAGTATTGAGCATCGACCTATGAATCAGGAGAGGTCACTGCTTGATTCCCGGTCAGGACACATGCCCAGGTTGTGGGCTCAATCCCCAGTGTGGGGTGTGCAGGAGGCAGCTGCCAATCAATGATTCTCTCTCATACTGATGTTTCTCTCTCTCTCTCCCTCTCTCCCTTCCCCTCTCTGAAATTAGAAAAAAAAAATCATCAAAATACTAAGGCATGGGCATACAATCGTGTGTGTGTGTGTGTGTGTGTGTGTGTGTGAGCTTTAAGCTGCGCCCTAGTGATGGCTAGTTAATGCTGCAGTCCCCTCATTGGGAATGAGCACGTTAGCAAGTAAGACTCCCACCACAAGTCCTCACTTCGGAAAAGGCTCCTGCAGAGCCTTCCTTCACCAGCAGCACAGCTGTTAGAAGTCATTTTCTTCGCTGGCAAAAGGAGGGGTGTCCTGGAACTATTCTCAGATGCTCTGGCCCTGGCATGGCCAGAACGTGGCGAGCCCAGCAGCGCACGCCCCGCAGGCTGCTGCCCCGGGTCTAGGACCCCGAATCCTCCGAGTTCTGCCTCTGCTTGAGGTCTCCCTGTCGGACCTCGGTCAGGATTCCCCGATCCTGCCACAAGCGTATCACTGTCGCCAGGAAACGTCCATGCGAAGCCGTGTCAGACAGGCAGCGGGTAGGTCGCGCTTACAGAACTGCCGGAGGGGCTGTTCAGGTTGCTGCTGGAGGGTAAATGCTTGCAGGTGAGGCAGGATCTGGCCGAGTCTTGTTCTCATGGCTTTTTGATGAACAGAGGTTCTTAAATTTAATGGAGTCAAAGAAGTCAATCATTTTGCGGTGGGTGCTTTTTGTGTCTTTAGAAATCCTTCTGTACCTAGAGATTATGAGGCCATCTCCCTACTTTAATCCTTCAGAACCTTTTCTGGCACTGCCTCTCACAGGCAGGTCTTTCATTTCCTTGGAATTACATGTGTGGGGTGAGGGAGAGGTTAGTTCTTTGTTTTGTTTTTTCTCGTGTGGAGGCCCATTTACTAAGACGCCTGACCTCTCCTCAGTGACTGCAAGGCTGCCTTGGTCAGTATCAAAGTGTCCAAACACACATGGGTCTCCCTCTGGGTCCTCCTTTTTTTTAAAAGAAAACAACAGATTATTATTATTATTATTTTTATTTTTAGAGAGGGAGGGAGAGATAGAAACATAAACGATGAGAGAATCATGGATCGGAGGCCACCCGCATGCCCCATCCCTCCTGGTTCATAGGTGGATGCCCAACCACTGAGCCACACCAGCTGAGCTGGGTTTTCCATTTTGCTCCATTGGTTTACCTTTCCGTGTGCCCACACCACGCTGTTAATTACCGTGACTTCCTAATGGGTCTGGTGGAGCAGAGAGTTTCTTCCACTGTGACTACACCCGGCAGCTGGCTCTTGGGACATCTACGGCCCTCATCCACCTTGACCTACCGGAGCCCGCCCACTTCTAGTCAATGAAGGCAACGGTGACAGATGGAGTTGGCTTCAGTCAGCCGACAGCAATGGCATTAACAGATACCAAATGCTATGGGAAAGCTAATGCAGACTTCGCAGACCTTGTGACAAAAGGGACAGTTTCACCTCCTTCCAGGAGGGCAGTTCCCTTGCAGCCAAGCCCAGGGAATTTGGCCAAAACCAAAATCCCAAAATATCGGCCCTGCCTCTTCCATGGCATCAACAGCCGGGGGCGGTAACTTCCACGTGGCTCCCAGAACAGCAGTTTCTGCCCTGCGGTGGGTCCCGGCGAATTCCTGATCTCGGTCGGGCCCCAGGGCCCCAGCATCAGTCCGACGCAGGCAGCTGCTGCTATCCCTCATGCTCCCGGATTCTACACTTCCTTTCCCAAATCAAATGTCCGGAGCTCCTGACGCCCTGGGTGAGGGAACCAGGACTCCGGAGAGAAGCTGGGTGGGCTGGGGGAGCAGCAGGAGAGTGCACGCTGGGCTCGGAGACCAGTTTCGGGGGAGGGTACCAGCTGGAGCTTCCCAGCTGGTCAAGGTGACCCCAGGGTCCAAAGAAGAAAAGAGGGGAACTTGCCTCTGAGAGCTGGGAGGAGTGTCCTTGCACCCGAGTGACTGTCCCTGTCCCTCTCCCCCACCCCCACCCCCTTCCCAAGGAGAGTGGAGTTGGAGCGTATCGGCCTCTATGAAGGCCTCTATAAAATACATGGTTAAATATTTTGGCCTCTTGAATTTTCACTTTCTAGAGAGGCCGAGAGTGGTATGCGAGTGCTAAGGCCTAAAAGGCCCGATTCATCGCCCAAACCGCCAATACTGTGACTGTGAGCAACTCTGCTGGGCCTCCGTGTCCTCATCTACGCGATGGAACAATAAAACCTACCTGTCCAGGTTCCGGAGAGATGAAACGAGGCCGTGCTGGCAAAGAGCAGATGGGAAATCGAGAGTGATTGTCTACCCTCCCTCGACGCCTCTGGCCACGAGAGGGGATCGATCCCCTCCCTGCCCCCCTTCACATTTAAAAAATTTTTATTATTATTTATTTAAAAAAATTTTTTTGGTAAGGAATTATAAATTTATTAGGTCATCTGGGAAACCAGATGGGCTGAGCCCCAATTTAAGTATAATTTATGTACCATAAAAACTACCCGCTATAAGCACACTAAATTCAGTGATATTTAGTAAATTACAGAGTTGTGCAACCATCACCACAGTCTAGTTTCAGGACCTTCCATCACCTCAAAAACTCCCCCCAACCTCATTCACAACGGGTCTCCACTTCCACCGCCCAGCCCAGGAAACCACCGATCGCTCTCTCTCGTCTCGCCCATTTTGCCTTCGCTGCACATTTCTCACGAATGAAGTCATACACTTTGCACTCTTCTGCAGCTGGCTTTTCCCACTGAGCGTCATGTTTTTTGAGACTCACCCACGTTGCAACATTTTATCAGTATTTCACTGCGTTTTATCTAGTCGCCTAATGATGGGCATTTGGATTGCATCCAGTTGCGGGTTATCAGGAATTAATACTGCTGGGAACATCTGCATCCAAGTCTCTGTGGGGATATAAGTTTTTCATTCTCTGGAGGATACACCTAGGAGGGGTCATGTGATAAATGTCCTTCTGAAGAAACTGACAAGCTGTTTTTCAAAGCGGCTTCCCACCGAGTTTCCAGCAGAACGAAGGCTCCAGTTTCTGCGCCTCAGTCACTCCCGGTCTTGTCTGTCTTGCTGATTACGGCCCGTCTAGTGGCTGTGCAGGTATCTCCCATGGTTTTATTTTGCGCTGCCTGAATGACTAATGATGAGGAAAGCCTTTTCTCGTGCTTATTAACCACTGGATAGCTTCCTTCTATTCAAGTCTTTTGTCCGTTTATAAGCTGGGTTGTCTTTTTATTACGGAGTTGCAAGAGTTCGTTATATCGTCTCAATACAAGTCCCTTATCAGGTAATAGCATTTGTAAACATTTTCTCCTAACTTGTGGCACATCTTTCCATTTGCTTCATGGTATCGAAGTACAGAAGTTTGCAAGTTTATCCATTTTTGTCTTTTGGTGTCACATCTAAGAACTCTTCGCCTAAACTAAGGTCACGAAGGTTTCCTTCCAGAAGTTTTATAGTTTTAGCTCTTAGGTGATCCACTGTGAGTTGATGCTGTCTGCATGATGTGAGGTAAGGGTCCAACTTCCTGCTTTTTTGCATATGGATATCACATTATCCCACATTGTTAAGAAGATTATTCTTTCCTATTGAATTTCCTGGTACCTTTGCTGCAAACCAGTTGCCTATAAATTTGTAAGAATTTAGACTCTCAATTCTGTTCCACTGACTGTATGCCGATCCTTCTGACAGCACCACACTGTCTTGATTACTGCAGCTTTGTAGGATGTTTAGGCCTCCAATTTCGTTCTTAGTTTTTTTTAAAAAAAATATATTTTTATTGATTTCAGAGAGGAAGGGAGAGGGAGAGATAGAAACATCAATGATGAGAGAGAATCATTGATGGGCTGGCTCCTGCACGCCCCACACTGGGGGTCGAGCCTGCAACCTGGGCATGTGCCCTGACCGGGAATCGAACTGTGACCTCCTGGTTCATAGGTCGACGCTCAACCACTGAGCCACGCCAGCTGGGCTTGTTCTTTTTCAAAATTGTTTTTGTTATTTTGGATCCCTTGCATTTCCTCATACACTTTAGGATCAATTTGTTAATTTCTACAAAAAACATCTACTAGGATTTTTTACAGAGATTGTATTGACTCTGTAGAGCAATGGGGGAGAATTGCCATTTTAACACTACTGAGACTTCTATTCCATAATGTGGCACGTCTCTCCATTCATTCAGAGCTTCTTCTGCTCAGCAATGTTCTATAATTTCAGTGCACAAACCTCGTACTTCTTCTGTTAATTTTTTCCTAAGTAGCTTATTCTTTTCGATGTTACTGTGAGTAGAATTATTTTCTTTTTAAAAAAATATGTTTTTATTGATTTCAGAGAGAGGAAGGGAGAGGGAGAAAGGGATAGAAACATCCATGATGAGAGAGAATCAATGATTAGCTGCCTCCTGCACACCCCCTACTGGGAATCAAGCCTACAACCTGGGCATGTGCTCTGAAAATATGGACAAACCTTCATCCTTGTTGCCTCTGAGTTGAAAGATCACAGATGGTTGTTTTTTTCTAATTTCTTTACATTCCTTTCAACTGTACAGATTTTCACAATGAGCATCTTAGAGCCAGGAAAGGAAAAGAAAAAAACCTGCCCGCAGGGCAGACGCGAGCAGGGGAAGGTGGCAGCTCTCGGGCTTACCTTGCAGTATTCATCGATGGGTATCAGGCGTTTGACGGCCACGTCCCGGATGTGGCTTCGTCGGAAGAGGATTTTGCCTGCAGAGAATGAGAGCACACATGGCATTGGCAGGGAGCGGCGACCAGCTCGCGGCAAACTGGAGGGTGTGAGGTGCATGCCTCTGGTAGGCCAGAGTGGTACCCAAACCCCTGGCTGTCATCACTGTCCCCTGGGGCCTGATGACCCCAGGCGTGGTCCCCCAAAGCCCGGCTCACAGTTCTAGTGCAAAGGCTGGGGAGGGGGGCCCGGTGGAATCTTCCGATGAGTTAAAGGAGGCGGGGACCAATCCGTGGAAGGAAGGCGCTCCTGCCCAGTGGAGAAGGAAGGTAGACCGGAGGGCCTGAGGTCCTCTGTCCAGCGCTGAGATTCTCAGGCTGCCTGGGCAGTGCAGCGAACCGCAGCTAAGCCCTAACCCAGTGGTCGGCAAACTGCGGCTCACGAGCCACGTGTGGCTCTTTGGCCCCTTGAATGTGGCCACGAAGTTTCAATCGCACTGTATGTGCGCGCCCGCATGTGGTATTTTGTCGAAGAGCCACACTCAAGGGGCCGCAGTTTGCCGACCACTGCCCTAACCCAACAGCTCAGGCTCCCTTCCTCCTCCTGCTCCTCCACCTGCTTTCTGCTCTCGTCTACGTGCCCAGCATGCCACGCTGTCTCATGATTCTGCCCCTTCCCTCTGCCTGGAAATTCCAACCTCACCCACCATCCCCGGGGGGAAACTGGGGCCACTTCACTGGGTTGAGAGCTCCTGTCATTTCTGACGGCACACATCAGGCTATTGATTTACGTCTTCTTCCCTAGCAGGTGTGGGCTCTGCACCAACAGGGACCGACTTTGTGTCCTCACCGTGGGGCTGCCAGCTAAGGACAGAGGCGCAGGCTCCGCCGTGTCCCCGGGAGGGGGTGTGTGACACAACGACAGCGGCCTCACTCCTCTCCCTGTGCAGCGGCCGTGGGACGGGAGTCTCTGGGCACATGTCAGGTGTGCGGCCAGCGAGGGAGACGGGGAGCCTCGTGCCAATCGTGCTGCCCTGGGAAATGGGCAGCCGCATTGCTTCACGGTGACAACCTCCGTTACAGCCCAGCGCAGGGCTTAGCGCCGTGATGGCGAACCTATGACACTCGTGTCAGAGGTGACACTCGAATTCATGTTTTTGGTTGATTTTTCTTTGTTAAATGGCATTTAAATATATAAAATAAATATCAAAAATATAAGTTCTTGGAAAATTCTGTTTCTTTGTTACTAATGTTGTGGCCCCACCCCATAACAAACAGAATTTCCGGAGGATGAGGCCCAGAAATCAGGATTTTAAAAAGATTCCCGGGTGATTCTAATGTGCAGCCAAGGTTGAGAGCCACTGTTTTAGATGATACTGCATTATACTCTGCACCTAGCCATTTCTTTTCTTCTGTTTTCTTGTTTTGTTTTTTTCTGTTAATCCTACCTAAGGATATTTTTCCATTGATTTTTAAAGAGAGTGGAAGGGAGGGGGAGAGACACAGAGAGAGAAACATTGATCTGAGAAGAGACCCATGGATTGGTTGCCTCCCACATGAGCCCTGACCAGGGCCAGGGATGGAGCCTGCAACCTAGGTATGTGCCCTTGACTGGAATCGAACCTGGGACCGTTCAGTCCGCAGGCCGACGTGCTATCCACTGAGCCAAACTGGCTAGGGCCCCAGCTCTGTTTCTTAAGACCTGCCACCCGCCGGCTAGGTCGCCATGGATGGGCAGCAGAGCTGGAGTTCCCGCTCGGGCCAGGCGCAGGGCAGGGCCGTGACCAGCACGTCCGTGGCTGGTACCTCCCGGGTGCAAGGCTGAGGGGGCCTGACCCTTTGTCTGCATCTGATGTGACAGTGTTTCTGGGCTGAGTCACAGGGAAGAGGGCGAACGTGCACCCCTCCCTCGCTGCGGGCCACCCGCCTGGGGCGGACGGGGTGCTGGGCAGAGAACAGCCTTTTGTTTTCCGCGGTGGAGCAGGCCAGACTGTAATTTTTAATTTTCAAGCTGCGTCCTCTGCCAAGTTGGCCGGCCCAGCTCTGGCCGGGGAGGAGGACTGAACAGGGCGGCTCCCCTCCCCCTGCCTTTGTGCTCACGGGAGACTTGCTTTGTTGTGCTGACGTGGCGGGCTTGGCAGGAAAGTGACCCCTAGGAGTGGGGCCGCCTCCCCGCAGGTCCCTGCCCTCGGCCCCGGCGGGCGGGCGTCGAGGAAAAGCGAAGAGGTGGCCTGGGAAGGGAAGCCCCTGGCGTCCTGGGGCCCAGCGGGACCTCTCCAAGCTGCAGTGGGTGCCGTGAGCGGGGACATGGGGCCGAGGCCCTGAGACCAGCATTTTCATGAATTCGTGGGTGGAAGAGAATTACGTAAGCACGAAAGCTTTCAGGGCTTGGGGGAGGGTGGGCTCACGTTCCTCCCCGTCCTGGGAAGCTTTTCCAGAGCTGGTTTTGCCTTTCATCCGACAGTAAGACTTATAACTCAGTGCTTTGGAGAGAAACCTACATTTATTTTTTTGTTGTTGTTAATCCTCACCCGAGGATATTTTTCCATTGATATTTAGAGAGAGTGGAAGGGAGGGGGAGAGACAGAGAGAGGGAAACATCAGTGTGAGAGACAGATCGACTGGCTGCCTCCTGCACGTGCTGGACCAGGGCCGGGGACCGAGCCTGCAACCAAGACACGTGCCCTTGACCAGAATGGAACCTGGGATCCTTCAGTCCACAGGCCAACGCTCTCTCCACTGAGCCACACTGGCTGGGGCGAGAAAAACCTACATTCAGAGCCCAGTTCAATTTGAGTGTTCAGGCTGAGCATTTAAGAGGAACGCCTCCAAGATAAGAAATACCAAGAAATTCCGAAGGAGTGTCAGGGGGCCCTGTTTCTGCCTTTACTGGGAGCCTACGGTGTCCGGGAGAGAAGCTGTGAGGCAGGGGGCACGCCCCGTTTTATGGATGGGGACCCCGAGGCCCAGCGGGGACCGGGGTGGGAGTCGTCCGCCTGTCACAGGGCTGGAGCCCGGACTCTTGGCTGCTGCAGCTGGCACTCCGGGTTCCTCCAATAGGAAAGAAAATTCCAGTGTGATTGCACACTCTCCCCATGGAGGCACATGATCCTCCCAGTGGACGGGGTCTGGCAAACGCCTCTGCCCAGCCTCTAAGCCCACTCGACATGACGGCATCTGGGAGAACCCACTCCTGTGCCTACGGCAAGGACCCTGGAGGGGGGGGAGGGGAGCCTGGGCACCTGGGTGACCTGGGAGTTTACCCCACTGAGGGGCCTGCTCCCCCTTCTGCAACATGAGGAGGATCGGAAGGGTCCCTTTCAGCTCGAAGTACGTGTGATTTCGGGTGGTGTCAACTCGCTGAAAGGTCTGTACATAAAAATGACGGTGAGTGCCGATTGCTGCCAGGTCTGTGCCAGGCTCGCCCTCACCCTCGTAACAACTGTTACTGAGGTGCCATGATTATCTCCATGTGCAAAGGAAGAAATGGAACTTGGTGTGCGGAGGTAGTTCACCCGAGATAACAGAGGGGCAGAGCCTCGGTGTGTGCAGCTGATAACGGGCACGCAGTGCCCACCCTGCCAGGTTGCTCTGAGGACGAAATGAAGTAATGAATGTAAAGTGCTTAGCCCAGCGCCTGGCACAGCAGGCATCCAACCAGGGGTAGCTACTGAGACAATAACACTGGCTTGGGTGTAACCTACTTTCTTTTCTTTTGTTAATCCTCACCCAAGGACATTTCCCATTGATTTTTAGAGAGAGTGGAAGAGAGAAGGAAAGACAGAGAGAAACATCCATGTGAGAGAGACACATCGATTGGTTGCCTCCTGCACGTGTCCCGACCAGAGCCAGGGAGGAGCCTGCAACCGAGGTATGTGCCCCTGTCTGGAATCGAACCCAGGACCCTTCTCCTTTGGTAAGAAATTTTTTAGGAGGAAAGGGACATGAATGCCTTTATTACATTAACTCCTCCCCAGTGCTTGGATTGGTGCCCGGCACTCAGAAAGTCCGTGGTAGGTAGGCAAGTGGAATTTCTATAATGCTCCCCTCCTCCCAACATGGCCCACCCTGACCCCTGAGCCTGTGACTATGATGGGATCTCTACAGGCCACCGTTTCTTTACAAGATTACCCTGCATCAGTCAGGTGGGGACGACGCAATCACATGCGTCCCTCAAAGCAGGCAGCTCCCTCTGCGGGGGGGAGGGGGGGGCGGGGTTGGGGCAGCCGGGGCAGTCGGAGACATTTAAAGCCAAGAGAGACTCGATGCCTCACTGCCGGCCTGAGGATGGAGGGGCCACAGAGCGGGGATGCAGGCAGCCTGGCTGACACGAGCAAGGACACCGGCACCTCAGTCCTGGAGCGGCAGGAACTGAATTCTGCCCCCGATCCTCCAGATAAGACCTGGGCCCGGACAAGACCTTGATTTTGCCTTGTGAGACCCTAAAACAGAGTACCCAGTGGAGGCCTCTGCAACTTCCGACCGAAAGAACTGTGAGATAATGAGTGGGTGCCATTTTAAGCTGCTAAATTGGTGGCAATTTGTTAAGAAACAACAGAAAAATGATACAGTAGCCATAAGAGAGGCCACTCGTTTTAAAACTTCACGCGCTTAATGATTCCCATTTTAGAGGTAGGAGAAACTGAGGCTCCCAGAGGTGAAGTGTCTGGTCACTGGGACAGTGCCCCAAGGAGGACGCGCCGAGATCCGGGAGCAATGCTGGCCCCGCGGGCCCCGTCTCAGGGTTTGCGTCTCACCTACCTGGCAGGAAGGGGATGATCCGCTGTTTGGGGTCCTTCTGTCCTCCTTCCATGGGAAATTTGTCCAACATCTGCATCTGTCAAGGGAGAAAAACACCAAAATATATGATGTGTGCACCTCTGATGGAATTATCTGGCACATGAGACTGGACATCCTAAAGGAATGAATTATTTGACATCCTAAAGCTCACTCTGTTCATCTTTTCAGAAGCCACACTAACGGGGTAAGTCTGTGTCAAGGGGACCAAGGGTTTCCACGAAGCCATTCCTCACGCCCACAGCTGCCCGACCTGTGAAGGCTCAGAGCTGGGCGTGGCCACTCTAGGTTCTCCCAGGGGTCTCGGCCACAGCACCTGAAATGTGATAACACCCCTGGCGCCACCAGAAGTCCATGGACGGTGGGCCAACCTGTGCCCTAAGAATTGCTGGGTGGTGTTAAGGACCAAGCCACTGAGACCCAATCATGACACCCCCCCGCCCCACTGAGAGTTCCCCAGGTTGGCTCTACAGACAGCTCTGTGCCCGGCGCTGCTGGCCCGGGGCGTATAGCAATTAAAGAGGCGGCTGAAGAGGAAACGGGCCATTACAGGGTGGTGTCGAAAGCACGGCGAGAGGAAGGCGTGGGCTGCCGTGGACAGAGGAGGAACGGAAACAGAGGTCCCGAAACAAAAACCTCTCAGAGCGCAAGAGCCGCCCCTCTGACCTTTGAAGGAATGAATGGGAAAGATCTGATCTGATCTACAAAATCGCAGAGATCGCTGCTCGGGGTCCCGGGGAAGTGACACCAACTTGCAGGGTGACTTCTAGGTTAAAGCCGGGCTGTGGGGTCATTAGCGCTGCCATCAGATATCTGGTCCTCCTTCTCCTGAGCACCTGGCGGATGTGAACGTCCCCACCCCCTTGAAGTGGGATGTCGTCAAGTAAATGTGAGCAGCCGAGACAGGTGTCACTCGGGGCGGAAGAGCCGTGAATGGTGCGTGATTCACCACTGTCCACTTCCTTCTGCCCTGGCGACTGGCCACACTGCAGACAGTGGCTTCTCTGCCTGTGCGGGTCCTGGAGAGTCCCAACAACCTTTGATGGACATGTAGCCCGAGTGAGAAATAAACATTTTTTACTGTTATTGCACAGTGAGGCTGTTTATCATAGCAGCATATCCTAACCCGACCTGACTTTTCAACACCAGCACATACTGGGCACTCAATAAAAACCGACTAAAGCAATGAATGCAACTGAGTAAAATTGGGGGGTGGGGGGGCAGCGTTAGGAGATGTTTGCCAAGTACCCCTGATTAATAACATTTGTATTACTAATCCTATATAATAAAAGGGTAATATGCAAATTGACCCTAACAGCGGAACGACCAGTCGCTATGGCGTACTGACCACCAGGGGGCAGACGCTCAATGCAGGAGCTGACTCCTGGTGGTCAGTGCACTTCCACAGCGGGAGTACTGCTCAGCCAGAAGCTGGCTCCTGGCTGGCCAGCACAGCAGTGGTGGCAGTGCTAAGGATGTCTGACTAACAGCTTAGGCCCGCTCCCCCTGGGCTGCCAGAGTAATGTCTGACTGCCAGCTTAGGTCTGATCCCCAGGGGAGCATTCCCCTCCCCCACCCCTAATGCACAAATTTTCATGCACCAGGCCTCTAGTCTTGAATAATAATGAACAATCCCTACTGACATCTGACTGGCAGCTGACTGTTAACAAGCCTTCTCCTACAGGTGGCTCTCTCTGACCTTCATAACCCTGTGAAATAAATGTATGATCCCCGTGTCACAGATGGGGAGACTGGGGAGCAGAGAGGGACAGTGAACTGCCTCAGGTCACATGGCCCAGTGGGAATCTAGCCAGTTCAAGTACCTTGATCTAAATGCCCTTCTCTTTCCCCAGGACCACGCTCTTAAACAGTTCTGGAGTCACGTGAACATGAAAAATTGGCTTGAAATAAGGAACGTTCGCTATTCCACGCACAGGTGAGCAGCAGGGTGATAAAACGGTCTCTGCTGGAGTGTTTGAAGGGTTTGTCTAACACTATCTTCTTTTCCCGTCTTAATTTTACTGAAGACGATGTTTGCCAACATGGAGCACCATGAAAGCGAACTTTTACTCTCAGGCCTTGTCCTGACTTGCTTTTCCCCACAGAAGTGTGGCCCGAAGGGCAGAAGTGTTACTGGTTAATTTGAGGCAGCAGACCTGGGTTAATGCTGCAGCGTCTAACCACAGCGATTCTACCCCGGGAGCCGGGCGGCCCCGAGCTTCACCCGGTGCCTCCTCATGCCAGCGTGTCCTTGGCCGGATCCCATCCGCAGAGCGAGGCACACAGCCCGCTGGCAGGGTGCTGTGGCAGTGAATGCTGGGGGTGGGGGGGGGGCTCTCCGGGACATCCCAGGGGCTCAAGGAGAAATCAATCACCTTGCGCTCTGCCCATAACAAATCTATATTTTTTAATTGAATGTATTGGGCTGACATTGGTTAATAAAATGATCTCAGTTTCAGGTGGACAATTCTATAACACATCATCTGTACTGTATATTGTGCAGAATAGATTTCTTCTTCGGAAAGTTATTTGGGAACAAGTTTGAGTTGTTTGTGAGGTTGGGTGGGTTTTGTACTGTTAAGTATCCAAAACATAAAATTCATGCCCTCAACCATCTTCCGTGTTAAGTGGTGTTACGTACATTCACATTGTTATGCAGCTGTCAGCACCATCTCAGAACCTCTTCCTCACTCCAAACTGAAGCTCTCTATCCATGAAACCCAGCCCCTGGCAGCCACCCTTCCACTTCGTCTCCAGCATCTATTCTCGGTCGCGAGTGAGTGGGATCCCCCAGGGTCTGTTCTTTGTGACTTGGCGTGTCTTCAAGGTTCATCCACGTTGTATCACGTGTTGGGATGTCCTTCCCTTTTACAGCTGAATAACATTCCACGGTGAGGCGGTGTGTTATGATTGGCAGAACTCAGCTATCCAAGCCCCCTCGGTGGCCGGCGCTGGGCTGTCCCATAGAACTGTCTGTCGCGATGGACACGTCCTACCTCCGCTATCCCTGACGGTGCCACCAGTCCCCAGGGGCTACTGAGCACGTGAAACGTGGCTCCTGCCACTGAGGAACTCAACTGTTAATTTCACGTAATTGTAATGAATTTACATCTGCATTCATTTAGCCTCCTGTGGTGATCATGGTGAACACGCTGGGCGGGACTCTGACATTCATCCTCTCTTTTCGCCAGACCTGGTCTCACTTCATTTTCTTTATCATCCAACCAACGGGGCCCGCTGTTCCCAAGGACGGGCGATCAGAGGCCTGGGAGCTATTCTGCTTTTGGTCTCAGTGTGCCCAGGTTCACAGGCCACACGCTGCTTCTATCCAGGGGACTGTCACATTGGCAACCACAGGCTTTACGGCAGACCAGCCCCTCTCCGGAGACCCCAGCCCCTCCCCGGGGACCCCAGCCCCAGGCTGTCTGCAGCGGCAGGAGCAGAGGCATGCCCCGCCACGTCCGACCACAGACACTGTCCCTGTAAACCGGAAATCCCACGTGCCTCTTCCTAGACGATAAAAGGAAGCAGCGCTCAGGGTGAGGAGGACTGGAAACCTGGGAGGAAGTGAGTCAGTGTGGGGGCTGGGGGGAGGGAGGGGAGACGGAGCCACATCACACGGACACAGCCCAAGCCTCCAGCAGGAACGAGAGAACGCTCCGTCAGCAGTTTTCAAGACCCCAGCCTGTGGCGGATGGAAAGGAGACGTCTGTCCAAGGGAAACACCGTGGAGGCTGGCGTGGGGCCCGCACATGGTTCATGCCCGCGGGGGACTGGACGTGATCCCCTCGGTCTCCCAAAGCCCCGTGTCCCCGGGGGGCCAGGGCAGGCGGTGGAGAAGGCTGGGGGACCGTCACACGCAGCTGCGGGCGCTGGGGAGCCACGTGGTCCTCAGAGCAGGGCGTGGCGATGCACCTGGCCCTGCTCTACACCGTGGAGGGGTGTCTGTGGAGATTCCGTCCCCGTGAGGAGCTGCTCTGTCTAACGGTGGGCACGCACGCCCTGGTGTCCTGTGCCACACGTGCGCCCCTCCAGTCTGTCCACTTCTCTCATCCTTCCTGCCCCTCCCCAGGCCAGGTCAGCACTGTCCCAGCCCGACCCCCTCCACCACCTCCTCATCGGTCCATGGTAGGTACTTGGTAGGTATCTGTGCAAAGAAGGGATGAATCAATGAGTGAGCAAATGCATGAAAAAAGGGGGTTCGCTGATGCAGCCAGCCACTGTCTAAGAGCAGACATTACATTCCAGGGGGCAGCCACAGGACCTGGGTTGGGGCTCAGACAGAACCGCCTCTTCCTGCTTTACAAATAAGGAACCGCTAACTGTGGGAAAAGACCACGACAGCATTTTCTCAGCGACGCGTCATCACCATGGCCACAGCTCTTCACCGAGGAGGGAAAACACATTCCATGAAGCGTGTATAACACCCCAATTTCGGAAGGTAACGTCTGGCGCAAAGACTGTGTCGGAGGGTCCGGCAAAGGCAGTGTTTGGAGAAATATGGATGGTGCGCCCTGAGCAGGTGTTGGCCAGGGTCCTGCTGGGAACCTGCGTGGGGGAGTGAGAACTGTGCAGTTCTGCCAGCCCTATACCTGCCTCCAGAAGAGACGGGAGGACACACTCCCTTCCCTTTGGCTTCTGCAGTGGAGCACGGGGGCTTCTGGGCAGACAGTCCCCAAAGCTCACAAGTGCACTATGGTCGTCGAACTCGCCTGAGCGAGACAGGTCAGTCCCAGCTCAATCAAAACTGGAAACAAAGGATATTTACAGCGCAACTTGGGACAGCCTCTCCCGTCTCCACATCTGTCCCTCCTCTGGGGAGAAAGGAAGGAGCAGGTCAAAACGCCGCCTGCAGCATGGCGTGGGCTCTGTGAACCGAGGAGGCTAGGACAGCGATATTCAAGCGGCGTGCCCCAACAATTTTTAAAACGTGCGATACCTGACTGTTTAGTCAGGGACACTGACCTCTTTTCCCTTAGATTGTCCAATTAAAAAAAAAATTACAACAGCCTAGCCCATGTGGCTCAGTGGTTGAGCATCAACCTATGAACCAGGAGG